GATTCTTTTAACAAAAAACCTCAGTTTTATCCTTCCATTTGCAGACCTATAAATACCAAAATAAATATTACATCAACTTAAAACTGACATTGCCAAATATTTCATCATAGTAGCTCTCCATCAATAAAAGTCTTACAACCATTCACGATTCTAGTAAGCTGGTTCAGTCCCACAAAGTCAACAAGTGGAAAATACCCTTTAGGCTCTACTGTTGCAGTATCTACATCTGTAGGCACTTATAAAGGACCCAGTCAACTACTTTAGACCTTTACCTAACTGCTCAATACCTTACCTGTCTGTATTAAGCTTCCAAACTAATACAATAGTCCCACAAAAATGAACTCTTGGTTCTGTTCTTCCACCATTGAAATAGCACAAGGTCAAAGAAAAGGCGTGAGTATGAATATACTTAACACAAACGCGGATGGTGAGTGTAGTAGTAATGCGCTCACGTGACCAGTCTCCAATCCCTCTAACCGTCGTATATCTATGGCCAAAGTGAACACAGTCTTGTCTTGTTACTCCTATAATTATTGCTATCGCTACTTTTCTGCTTACTACTGCTATAATTGTACTCCTTTTCTGCCTTGTGTTGTATGAAAGAAGCAACTTTACTACGCATTAATTTTTGCCATACATTACATTAGTCTCGCCACTAGCCATACATATACAAAAGTAATTATGACGTCACTGCAACCGCTCTATAGCAAGGCATAGATACATATTAGAGTAAATGAATTTACTCTAATATCTATGAGCAAGGTAATAATTATAGCTAAATAGTGGGATTGTAAAGAATTAATGGTACAACTCACGGCATTATCCGAGGTAGCCCCCTCTTTAAGTAAATTTGCTGATTCTCTCTCTCCTGCCATCTTAGTTGAGCAATCTCCTCACAAATTCCTGATTAGAGTTAGAGTAGAGGCACCACATGTAGTTAAATTAAATTATAATGCCGTATAGCTGGAAATATTTGCGGGGAATTAATTTTTTGCGAGTTTGCGATTCATGCATGACCACAGTAGATAGTGCTACAATAACTGTCAAAACCGCAAATATTTAATCCGCAAACCAGGTTATTTTTAAGGATTCGCAAAATTTTTCTCCGCAAAATTAACTAGGTGTATGGTAATAAATTCCATTCTCACCGTAAACTATTATAATATTTGGTCTCACTAATAATGGTTGAGTCAGTTACCTTTATAGCCAGCTCCTATCTTAAAGCCCATAAGTTATACTGTGCAGTACTATATATTCCACACAGTGCTACATTTTCCTACCATGCAGTTATTGGAAGTTGTAGCACTGGCGGCGCCTTTGATCCGCCCACGCACCATACTACAAATATATATAACCCACAATGACCACACCTAGATAATTTTTTTCATTTTATGACTACATAGATAGTACAATAATGTGACAAATGATTTAAATTCAACTTTCTCAGTTTTTTTTAAATTCACAATTCATCCTAGCTGTTTGTTTCTAGTAGATCTACTACCTGGTACTGCTCTTCTTTTTCTTCACTTTTTGGTAGTCCTCCTTGTCTCACTTCTCTTTATCTTTCACTAATACTTTTCACAGCAGCATCTATTTCCCATGCAAAGATGATATAAAGTGGCAAAGTTTTACTAGAAAATGCATGCAAGTACCCATCACATATGTAGTTAGATAGTCTCAGGGCCTGTATATAAAATATAACAATAAAATGATAATGATGGTCCTTAATAGGATTACATGCATGAATCAGAATGGGTGCTTGTACTAGTAGATTTTAGTGGTTCAGCTGTATCAAAAAATAGCATTGAAGTGTTAGAAACATGTTATTACCTGTAGAATAATAATACAATGTACTTGTTATAGAAACTTTAGAAAGACTAAAGGCCTTTTCACACTGGCACAAGTAATGCGCAGCTGTATCAACAAAGCATGCAGCTGCATTATTTCAGCTGTATCAACAAAGCTCACAAAAGCGCTTTGAAAACTGTGCCAGTGTGAAAAGGCCTTAATTCAGCTATAAATTGATGAATTGACTTGTAAGGACACATCATTTACTATAAAACAATTAATGATCATCAACTACAGCATCCTAAAAATTTTAGAGTAATAGCTATCAAGATAATAGTTACTCACACAATCACATACACAATGACAAACAAGTCAACACTGAATTCTTTCTCTTCAACATTGCATTACAATTCAGTATTGGTGAAAAGGCAATTGACAGATTATTAGTTGCCAAATTTGCTATAAAGGTAATACTGATAGCTACTAATGATGACTAAAATTAGAGAAGCCATGTACATGTAAGTTAGTATGAAAACAAAGTATACACATTGCAATTGACCAATCAGATTACTCTGCTCAATCAGCAGTTCATTAGTTTAGTTATTCAACCTCATTCATACTATTATAAGAATAAATTAGTTAATATGTATCAGAAAATGTAATAAAAATTTGCAGTGATTTTGGAGTCATTTTTTGGAAAACCATGGGCTATATATAGTACAGGGATTTTTTCAGTATTTTGGTATTTTCTTAAAATGGCCGTAACTCAAAAAATTAAAGTTGGAATCGGCTCAAACTTTCTACATAGCATAAGTACATCAATATGTATTCAAAAATGTAACAAAAATTGGGGGTGATTTCGAAGCCATTTTTTGGAGAAACCATGGGCTATTAGTAACGCGGTAGCATTACTAAGTAGGATTCACCCCCGAACAAAATGGCTGCCACGACTTTTGCAGCCTTGCTATATAGTACAGGGTATTTTTTAGATTTTGACCCATTTCTTAAAATGGCCGTAACTCGAAAAATTGAAGTTGGAATCAGCTCAAACTTTCTACACAGCATAAGGACATCAATGTGTATCAAAAAATGTAATAAAAATTTGCGGTGATTTTGGAGTCATTTTTTGGAAAAAACCATGGGCTATATAGTACAGGGTATTTTTCAGATTTTGGCCCATTTCTTAAAATGGCCGTAACTCGAAAAATTGAAGTCAGAGTCAGCTCAAACTTTCTACACAGCATAAGGACATCAATATGTATCAGAAAATGTAATAAAAATTGGGGGTGATTTCGGAGCCAATTTTTGGAAAAAACCATGGGCTATAGTACAGGGATTTTTACAGAAATTGTCATAATTAAGTATAGGTTATACACCGAGGTCGAGGTTTCTGTGGGATTTATTTACCGAGGGACACAGTCCCAAGGTAAATAAACCCATAGCAACCGAGACCAAGGTGTATAACAGACTTCTACCATGCCAAATCTGTAGCTAAGAAACTGCCCATGATTAGCAAGGCTTTATAAAAGCACAAGGCCTCTTTGCTTCTTTGTATCTTCTTAAAAGAAACTGGAAAATCTCTTCTCCACTCGCGCCATGTGCGTACAGTAAAACACGCCCAGAACACGCCTTTCCAATTCCACTCCACCCATTAAGAAGTTTATCACATGGCCCAATGCTTTTGACCATAGTATCTATGTTTTGACACTCTATTTCTTTCTTTTCGATGTTCTTTGCTGCTTTCTCTGCTAAAAATGATTACTCCAGACGCCATAGCTATGCTTTGAGGTAAATAATCAGAAACCTGTTTGCTCCCGGGCTGTCCGCGAGGTAAATAACTAAGAAAACCTGTTTGGCGACTTTAACTAGGTGAATGTAAACATTGAGGGGGCGAGCCATCAATTCACATTGTTTGATAAGAAGATTAAAATTATTATAAGAAATCCAGCTCTTAGCCTGCATGCATATTCAGACCCCGGCCATGAGGCCGGGGTCTGAAGTCTGAACAGAGCAAACACACCAGTTAAAATAACCCAGTAAAAGAGACAAGGATGAACTATCCTGTCACCTTGAAAAATGTGCCAAGCTAAACTTTTAATCAAGCTTCCATCAAATAAAATCTTTTTGAAATAAAACTACTGAAATAAAATCAATCCAGCTCTTAACGTGCATGCATATTCAGACCCCATCCTCATAGTCCGGCAGGGTCTGAACAGAGCAAACCCACTATTTAACACCACTGACCAAAATTACCTAGTAAAAGTGACAAGAATGAACTGTCCTAATACTTTGAGAAAAAGTGACAAGAGGCTAAACTTTTAATCATATCAAGCTTCTGCTTCTCTCACAATTTTAATTCTATCAATGAGAGGACTAATCTAGAGGAGTCTTAGATCAAACTGCTTTTAAGTTCTTCAGCCTTTAGAAATGCTTTAGACAGCCCCTCTCTCTTATCTAACTTTTAGAAACTCAATCTGAGTTTGTCACGTTAAAATTTCCGCCATCTTGCTCTTTTTGACCACACCCTCTAGATTAATTTTGCCCACGTGGTCCAAATTTATCAATAATAGTATACTAATTTAATTTTCGTA